GTAAAGTTATGCGAACTTACAGTGAGCAAATCTTGTTTGCGAGGTCAAAATCTCTCAAGTCTTCAATATCGATATTTCTGCACTGTACATCTTTGAGGTCTGATAACGAGGATGTTTCACAAGAGCTGCACGAGCAACTTGTTGGACAGGTTGAATTTTGCATCAGAGAATTCTCCAGCTGCAAAGTTGATTTGCCAATAGTACACAGCATAAGAATTATCTTCCAAGAGAAAATCAAATTTTTAGTATCCATTTGGCACGAATCTGATTCGATTTGGAGAAGCGTAGGACAGTCGACAAAGTTGTGTGGTACAGAGAACAGAAACGTGACAAGGCGGCTTTCCGAAAGAACAGAATAGTGTTTTCACCATTTCCGATGTCTTAAGTGATCAAAAACTGAATTTGATCCACTCATTGACAGAAGTACCCCACAGTCAAGTTGTTCAGGAAATTCAAGCTGTCATCAGATAAAATCGTGATTACTCTCAATTCTGGCTCTGTTTTTCAAGTTTTACCTTAAGGCAAACACGAAGTTTAAGCTGAAAATCTGAAAAAAATTGTTTATGCCTTCCGTTTGAATGCCAGTGAGGCTCAAAATACTTTTTATCAAGGTTAATTTTCTTTATTAAATTGGACTTCATTCTTAAAATTTCCTTTGCTTTCCGCCCCAGCTCGAGTGGACTTTTTATCAGTGTCATTGACGTCAAAACTCTGTAACCAATTTTGGCTTTCCGAAAGAACAGAATAGTGTTTTCACCATTTCCGATGTCTTAAGTGATCAAAAACTGAATTTGATCCACTCATTGACAGAAGTACCCCACAGTCAAGTTGTTCAGGAAATTCAAGCTGTCATCAGATAAATTCGTGTTTACTCTCAATTCTGGTTCTGTTTTTCAAGTTTTACCTTAAGGCAAACACGAAGTTTAAGCTGAAAATCTGAAAAAAATTGTTTATGCCTTCCGTTTGAATGCCAGTGAGGCTCAAAATACTTTTTTATCAAGGTTAATTTTCTTTATTAAATTGGACTTCATTCTTAAAATTTCCTTTGCTTTCCGCCCCAGCTCGAGTGGACTTTTTATCAGTGTCATTGACGTCAAAACTCTGTAACCAATTTTAATCTTTCCCATTCTTAGCCACCTTTTATCATCGCGGTTTATATGTGCTTCTGTTGAGTTTTCTCTTCAGTTCCTTCGAGGCGAGGGCAGTTTTGAACGTCTCAAGCCGATTAGTCCTTTAACAGCAATGAGTGACTAAGACAGATTTTTTTTCCTTACAATATCATTACAATATCAAGCAGACAAGTGATGAGAACAAAGAAAAATAACACTTATGGGATTAGTAGTTGATCCAATATCAAACTCTTAAAACTAACATAAGAATTTTTAAGGCAGACAGTGAGGAGAATTAGTTATGAGATCTTAGGAGAGAAAGGGTCTATCAAGTCATGGCGGTTTTATTCCTTTAACATATTAGCATACCTAAAGAAGTTTTCGTCAGGTACTTGACCCTCTGACTCTTGAGGTTATATTGAGATCGTGGGTGTGAAAGGGTGAAGACCCTTGAGTCAATCACTTTTTTTTCAGTGGACCTTTTCACAACGCTCAGAACCTTCATCAGCCATTGTTAATCTGTATTAAATCGAAGGAGAAATAGAACTCAGAAAAAGGACGCCGAGGTCCAAAATTATGCGGAAGGTACTTTCGGAAATCTCTTCCGTCATAAGGTAGGGAACTGCACCATTGCTTTCTTTATTTGGAATCTATATGCTATTAGGGATTTGTACTAATATCAAAATATCCAAAGATGCTACCTAATGTTAATGATTGTGTAAGCATAACTCTATGAAAAATATTCGATAAGTTTGCAGCGCAAGATCGCCACATACAGAAATTCTTATACGCGGCCAACGTGGTCAACCCCCACCGGGAAAAACACTCGACTAATTTATTCATTTTTAGGCAATCTTTATTCAACCCATTCACTATTTACAAAGTTAATTTATCAACTTAAAAAACAGAAGTAAATTAAATGAATAAGGGTGCAGGATATCCTGAAAGAAATTACATAAGGGCTTGTCAAAGTATGATATCCTTGTCCCGTTACTTTGTCTCATTCTGTGTCTCGGTATTCAATACAGGAAAATTCTGTTCAATATTAATACGATCATTTATTCTCCAACTGCACAAAGTAGATTACAAATAAGGCGCGATAGAGTACAAATATTCTGGTTATTTGGACAATTGGTTATTTTGTACTGCTAAAAAAAACCTATTTAACTAGTCGGCTGCGCGCGCTACGCTACTCTATCCGCTTTGCTTTTCCCGCCTTATGAGAAATGAGCAGAGTTTGTTGTTTGTAAAATACGGTACAACTCGTAAACATACACTGCGATACTACACACCAAAACGTCTCATAGGATATATATATATATATACATTCAGGCCCGATTTGTCTAATCTACTAATTCGTCCATCTCTTAACCCTTTAGCCCCTAGGAATGACTGGCATCTAATTTCTTCCTACGATTTCACGCCTGAATCAAACATGAAGTTATGAGAATAGAGATGATCACCAACTAACGCAGCTCTTGATTTTGAAACAAACTCTCCTTGTCAGCCTCTTTGGAAATTTATGGAGAACAGTATGGAGAATATGCATACTGATGTTAGGGTGTAAAGGGTTAAAGCTCGGGAGAAAATTACCAATCAATCATTATGTATCGCCTGGAGAGGGGAGGGGGGGGTTCAAAGGATTTTTTTTTGGGGGGGGAGATGGGGGCGGGATGGATCATATGGTTTTGGGGGGGAAACGAATGGGGGGGGGTCAGTCGTCGCCAAATAGGTAGAAAGGGGGGACTAGGACTAGAGGGAAATGGAAGGGAATGGGAAGGGATCATTGGAATACTGCAGAACCCTACGAGGGATCTGGTGAGTTTTTTTGTGATCAAACCCCCCCTCCCCCACCTATCTGAAATAACTTCCATATTTCAAATAAGGCCAAGTGTATGAACTCAGTTTTTATAGGAATTGATTTGAGAAGTAGGGCTAAAGATTGGTCTTCTTTGCCTTTTGCCTTTGAACAAGGGAACTTCATTGAAACGATATGTTATTTTAAGTTTAAAGTCTGATACTAAGCCTATTCCTGGTGTTCACCTTTTCAGGCGGTGACAGGCAAAACTTGCTACCCTTGTTACCTCTATATTACCGCTTAGAATAGCTTGGAATTCTTTAAAATTCAACAAAATTAAAGCATTGCTCAGCTTTAATCAGTCGTGCTTAAAATAAGGGAGAACAGTGTGTTTTTTTTTTGCTCGATAGGTCAAATAATTAAGAGAGAGCAAAGTCGAAAGTGATGCCAATTACTTTGGTTTTGCTTTTACTTTTCATCGCTCTGTGACTGGTCCAAAAAAATTCGCACAATCCTCTCAACTAATCAAGTGCAAAACCCAACTGTGAATCAATCGAAACCTGATCACCCGCGTTTCCCGCGCCTCAAGAAGTTTTTTTTGTTTTCACTTTGGATTATTTTTGGCAGCCAGATAGGAGAATTAACAATTAGATCTTGGAGGTTAAAGGGTTATAAAACGGCCTCAAGTGTGCTGCTTGTAAAAAAAATCGTCAAGAGCCATATGCATTTTATCGATGTCTTATCACGCTCTTATTGAAACCAATTTGCATTTGTTCGACTTCTTTCGGGGAAAAAATTATTGCGCATGGAAAAATATTTCGCAAAAAGCTTCTCCTGGAATGTCAACTATGGCGAATTGTCGTAACAACTTGTTCATGCGCCTTGACCCTAAAAGAAGTGGTAATTGAGAGAGGGTAGGATAGGCGGAGTTCATAAACTATATTTGTTTACCTGAAAGGCGCCGCATGGCCAATTTGTTAAACAAAACTCTTGGACCATTTTAGGATCGTTTCGCGACGAGATTTGCTTCCTAGCGTGGTGCAAGGCCTGAAAAATGCGCCCGCGTTCTTTGAAAAAGCAGTAGAACTTGTATGACAATAAACACACGGTGTAACAATCAGCTAATTTCCATTCCGTGCGGCGTCCGCTTTATGGCTCCATACTTGTTGTCGTGTTGGCTTGTTTGTTAGCAATCCGGCATTCGCGTGCCTGATAAAGTGATAATTCAAATCTTATACAAAAGTGCTACAGGACGGCGCCACAAGTGTGTTAATAAGGTGATATCGCCCTCATTGCTTTCAAAAGAGGGCTTTCTTGTAATAATGGCGTAAAGAGGGCGTTTAGACTTCATGGAACCTCACAACTATTTTATAGCGGCAAAGACAAAAGGTAAAAAATGCTGCTTACTTTGGTTTTCCTTCACAATAGGCTTAGCTTTCTAGGCTTAAATTAGCTGAATAGCGGATGCTTCTTGTGTAACTGTGATATGGTTTTTGAAGATTTATTTCAGATGCTTCCAGTATACTGGACGCAACGCGAGTTAAGTTGATCAAGAATTTCGAAAGAGATTCTCCAGCAATATTCAGGCTCTGTGTAGTTTCACCTGAAATGATTCTAAACTTTGCGGATTTAATTTGACGTTGTTTACATCTCTCAAAGGAGTCGCTGAATTAGAAAATGACGCGCTTTTGTGACTGTGTAAGCGTTGAATCCTTTGGCGACTATAGGACTCAAAAAGGGTTTAAGAGAAAGAAGAATGTGTTTGAAATTATTCATTGTCATTATCCTTTTTATCCATTGTTTCGCTTTATTCTTCAAAAATCATTTATCATGTAATTACACTATTGTTTCGTCGAGTAGTTGCCCACAAAGAGTCTAACCTGCTGTAAACATGAAGCCAGACAATTAAGTTTGAGACGCTGTAATTTAATATGATTACACGGCTCTCCAATCTCTATATTTCTCAAGCATTTAACGCTCTTAAACTGTCAAGTTTGCACTCTTACGGGAAATGTTTCATGCCCAGCTTTCACTAAATTTTTTTTTCTGAACAACGTCCATGGTCTTATGTTAAAATAATGTTATGTTCCAATTCCCTTCAATTCTCGTTGTAAACCAAAAGTTCTGACATCCCGACATCAGGGGTATCGATATTACTCTATTTAATCTCCATTCCAAACTGAATAATATATTTATAACAATTTTTATACAAGTAAATTAGTTGTTTTCTCAAAACTACGAATCATGTCGCTCATATATAGATACAAATCAAGTTTTGCTTGATACTTATCTCCATGTTTAAATATGGCAGCTTTTGCCTTTCGTAAATATACATTACTGTTCTTTGTCGCTAACAAATCTTGTTTACGTCGATAAGGTAACGAATAGTATTTTACATTGTTGAAACTTTATTAAAATTAACTTATTTTTCCTTGGTGTACTGCGCTCCGCCGACTCAGCAGATGTCTTCTTGTAGCGTATTACTGTTGGGAAATCTTTCCTTTTTGTATCTTTTTTTGGTAAGATCGACAGCGGTCAACTGGCTGGAAAGCTGTTATGAAGTGTTCTCTTCATTCGTTGGAACGACTTTTGATGTGGATTAACAGTTCTCTACTGCTTGAGCAATCCACAGACTTTGCAAGCACATTCCTTCACAATTTTAACCTTCTTTATCACAAAGGAGGGATTTTGTCCGGGGCATTCCAGTCGCACTTTGATTGTCTCCTGTGAGGAGGGCGCGCAATATGAACAGGAAACAAATTTCTTTGGGATGAAAAACGAATTGCATTGTCCATAGCACATGCTGTTGTTGATTTCTGCAGTTTGGCAGCCGCGATGATGCACACTGTCTTTGAAGGGATGTATCACGCACCATTCGCTTTTTAGATTCATCCTGCCTAATTTTACTTGGGGAACTCCACTGGATATAGGCATTTTGTTGCTGTTTGATATCACCGGCCTTCTGGTCACTGGCCTTTTTCCAACTGAGTCTTCTGTGGCCCCGCTCCCGCTAAATTGGACGCTTATTTCCGGATTATTTCCGTTCTTCCCCTCCGTTGCTTTCTTGGGCCTAATTGGGAGAAGTTCCCATGGCTCCTTCTGCGTACTAGACGATGAACTCTGCAAAGGAAGACCACCTCTTGCTTGTTGTTTGGTTGCAGATTTTAAATTGAGGTCGCTTGGGGAAGATGGACGCGAAACTCTCAACTGCATGAGCTCCAACTGTTGACGTCTTCTTGCTGTTGATAGGTTGGTGTTCCTATGCAGTTTCGTGGACTTTAAGTTGAATAAGTTATTCTGAACAGCTGACAAGCTTTTCGTTGTATCAAGCGTCGGGGTCTCGTCGACTTTTCGTTGCGGGAGGACTTGGTTCCCGAGCAAGCTAATTGGATCTCTGGAGGGAAGTTCTCCTTTATCTTCTCTAGGAAGTGCGCTTGTTTTGCCGTTAAGGAGTTCCATAAACGGAACTGGAGATGAAAACAGCAACGACAGATCCGTCAAAATCAAGAGGGTAACCAAACAGAAATAATTGAAGTTGACAAGTCTTTTGACTACCATCTGATGAGGAAAAAAAATGAAGACGTCAATCACTTTTGAGGCTCAATCAAATTCATGTTATATTTAACTTGTATTGCTACTAGCGTTTCTACTAATAGAACGTTCGTGATTTCGCGTGATATTGCTGTACTTTCTACAATCACTTAAAATGCACAATTAGAATTTAAAGAATATATCTTTCGTTTTAATCCATGAGGAAACTCCATAACCAAAATAATCTGCCTACTCTGACATAGTCGTGTATATTCGGAACAATGAAGGAAACTTTGTTTACAACAGTAAATAAAACTGACTTCGCTTTCAACATGCATAATCTTGGTCGGCCACACGCCTCTGCTACTGTAGCTATTAAAATGTTATTTGTTTATGGTTAGGTTTGGTTTGTTTGGTCCACGTTGAACACTCGTGGTTTACGAGAAGAGCGGAAGGAACAAAAACTTCTAGCAGTCAGTTATAATGCACAATTGTACTAAAAAAAGAAGGGCTCGCAGACTGCGTCAATTACCTTTCTGAATCAACTCTTAAACGATGACTTTTCTTCGTGACGTTTATCTGAAAGATAGAAAAGCGAGTTCTTAAAGATAATCATTTGAAGCAATCGTAAATTAAGCTGAAGTGTTAACCTGTCTGGTTGTAATGAAAACTTCGAATTTCTTTCGAAAGGGAAGAGTTAATAGTTGAAATCTTTCTCAGCTTACCCCGTCAGTAATACAATGACGATTCCTTTGCGGGAAGAAAACAAGCCTTGAAATTTCTGACACAAGTGTCGAAGTAGAGCACTTGTTTGAATATAAACTGTTCTCGCTCACCCGTGATATATATTGTCTCCACGTATGCCTCTGCCGACAAAAACCACTGTCCAAATTAGACAATTAAGTCACCTTTGCTTTGTTTATGAAACCTGTTTTAGTCAGCAGTCGGCTCCAAGCGAGAAGGCGTGATTTATTGAGCTGGAATATCGATTCGTTCCAGCAAAGCTTAAGACTGTTGGCGCCACAAACGCGGCAATGAATAGATTTTTTGGATTGTCAATTGTGTATTGAGCCACCTTCGGTAAATTGAAACGCAAAAAATCTTTGTCTCTCTTCAACAAGTTTTCGTTTACATAGTTCCACCCAGCTAACCATTCATATTCGAGTTTAAAACATGCCTTTGAAGTTCTTTTGACAATAACTTAACTTAATCTAACACAAGAAGAAAACCTGCAATTAACTCGAAATTAATGTTATGATATATTAGCTTCGATGTGGCGCCAGAAGACAAAACATTAGTCGCTCTAAAATGTGTTAGAGAAAAGCAAAGAGGTGGCGGAAATGGAGCCGTGAACTTACTTCTATGTACTGTTGATTTCAAACTGTTATTGCCTTTACTTAGTCTCTGTAATACCCGGCACTAATGAATGTAATTGCTAAAAAACAAAACAAAACAAAAAAAAAAAGAAAACGGTGAAGTGTCAGGCGTTAAAACGGATTACAAACATACTAGAAATAATTTGTTTCCAGATTTCAGGTAAGGGCGCCGAAAGATAATACCGACAAATTTCATACTCTTGACTTAAAAAGGGCCGCAATCTTGAATTGAATACCAGCCCGTCTCTGACAGATTTGTAGCAAAATTTTTTATCATATTACTCTGAAATTGTTTAGTTTTTTTTCTATAAAAGAAGCCTTTCGAAATTATCGTAAAAGAAAATCTCTCAAGCGAATGTATCCGTCTCCGTAATGATCAGTCATCATGACTTGTGCAGAAACTGTAAATGAAATTTTTAAGCCGCACGGACAAAAAAAACACTTATTTTAAAATGAAAACGTTTTCATTGTTTGTTTCAGTAAATTGCATATAAAGTTCTCATTTCCTTTTTTCCCACGAACTTGACCTGGGACAATACAGTTATACGCAAACGTGTTGCTATTTTTTTAAATTTTTTTTTTGTGGTTGGAAATTACGCGTTTCGATCAATATGAGGTTAATTTATTCTTTCCCAAGGCAAAGGTTGTGAGCAAACCAGGATAAAATCAGGCAAGCATCCCCCTTCAGAGCTTATAGGGGTTATAGTTGAAGGCATCATTAAGTCAATACAGTAGTAGTAGTGATATGTATGCATGGAACAGAGACTTTACCCACGTTGTAACAATCCCCTATGTTACAAATTGCAAGACCTGGGTTTAAAACTTTGACGTAACAGACGATATTTTATTTGTTAGGAAGAGTATGGAAAAGAGTCATGGCTCATAAAAACCCTGGTATGAAGACAGACATTGTTGAGCTCAGTAATAGTAAGAATGCAAGAAAAAAGGGCTACCATCAAATCATCCCCCACCGGACATTTTACATTTCGGACCGTATCGCACCTCGTCGGTTTACCCCACGGATATAATTATGCACTTCTATTTGAGAGAGTTTTTTCTATCACTCTTGGAGCCGTTATTTTGTTTTTGTTATGTTTGGTTATTATTAAATTTTCATGTTTCATTATCACGCCTTCAAACTGCTTGGCTAGCTACTGACGTAAGTTGTTTAAAGTATGACGTCTGTTTTCGAGCACTGTTTGAGGAAGTATGACAGCAATACTATTCCAGTGGTCCAAATACGCTTAAATATAGTTTTTGTGGGCGCATTAAGGTCACTAAATTACTTCTAGGTCTTCTTGTCATTGTACAAAGCTTGTGCTTTGGGCGCAGTCAGTTTTCATTGAAAACATATTCCGGTTGAGCGTTTTTTCGATGATTTGATGCCGCAGAAAGGGTTCAGATGTGACTCATCCATTCGTGAACTGAAGTATAGAGCATTCCATTGTAATAAATCAACAGCTGGAAATTACTATGGAATCTCTAGTACCGTATTGGCCTCCTTCACATCTAAGTAGTCGCACGCAGTCAACGCAACTTTATTTCTGGTATCTTTAGTAAGGCGTAAAGAATTTTGTCTTTGAGACCTCCAAGGTTCCCTCTTCGCAGAAGTGCTATTTAAAATCCACTTTAAAAACTTGGTTTCCTAATTCAATTTGACCTGATTTTCTTGAGAGCACAGAAGATGTTTTTATGCTGACAAAAATACAAAATCGATCAAAATATCAAGCTTATTTCGGGATCTTAAGTGAGGCGGAAAAAAAAGATTTCAGTTCTTAGTCCGCCTACAAAGTTCTTTCATAGATGTTTCTGTCTGAAGAAACGATCCTCCTAATTTCTGAAATAAGTTTTTTTTTCTCGAGAAACATGTTATTTGCTGGCAAAATCTAAAAGCTCTGGAAAATTTTGCGAAGAACGCACCAGAAATTGTGTTAGATAAAAGCGTGTAAGGTAACGATTCGTGCTTTAAAGAGTAATTTTGCCATCCTTCGCTCATTTCAAAACAGTGTAGGCTAACATGTAAATATTACAACACATATGAAAAACCTTGCGAAACTCATTTCTTTTAGAGTATAGGGCCGGGTTTGTTGAATGTTTAGAAGGATTGCCGATTGACTTTTGCAATCATACATTGTTTATATTGCCTGTAAAATTAATATAAGTTGTCAGTGTTGTTGCCAATTTTAACACAGACGCCCTTGCGTAATCTGGTATTCATTGACTTTCTCATAGTCACCCTGTGGATTAGATGCAAGCTAAAGCTTTCTACTCAATCTAAACAGAAGGATAATTTTGCCTTACGAAATTTTTCACCTCATGTACAATTAAAAAAAAAAAAAACTGGACCACAGGGTGTTCTGTTCCCCACGAACAACTTCAAAGTAATGTCTTGGGCTTTACGTAACTGCATGATATACCTTAGACGAATCTTTGCTCTCACTGAACTATGTCTGAAGTTTTCACCCACACGTTCGATTTATAGACTTACAATACTAGGTTCTGCGAATAGCTATCGGTATTTGTAAGTAGTGGGTGGTTTTGCTAAGTGCGAATGAAAGAATAAGTGAGATATTTATCACGACTGGCTTGACAAGGTAACCAAGGGATTTGTTCAGGTCTAAGACAGTTTAGCCAATGTTATAGTTTGTTGTCTGGAGATTTAAAAATCAAACTAAGCTACCAAAATTCCAGCAGGAATATAGACGCTCTTAAATACATCCATTTTAGAAAACTATTATCGATTCGGTATGTTTGTCATGAGTTACAGACGCTCCAACTACCTCAAAGCTCACGTACGATCGACGAGACAGAAGCGTCATGGTATAAGAGAGGGCGTGGGAGCTGAATGAATTCTCTCAAGTCAAGAACCACTTGAGAAACCCAAAACACTTGTGAGTGTCGTGAACGGAGACAGGAAGTCTAAGCTTGTTTTTAGGAATGGTACATTTGAGGGAGGTGGTTGTTGGGATGAAATAAGGAAAGGTGTGTTTTGGTGTAATAAACATGGATGGGTGTCAAGCGAATGATCGCTTCGCTGGGCATTCCCTTCGAAAACAGGGTCTTAAATGAGTGTTTTACGAGCGAGAAAACAACCGGTTGAAGGCAATGGACAGTTTTAAAAGGCCTTAGTACATCTCAGTTCCCAAGTGAAGTTTTCAATACATCGCATACGAAACTCCCTAAGTCTCGAAAAATCGAAGGTCTACTGCTAATTTCGTGCATCCTGGGAAACGTTACCCGAAATTCGTCGTGGTTTTCATTCACAATTCGTCTTAATCTTCTCCATCCCAAGTCATCCTTTGTCCTTCGTGGGTTATTATTGTCTCTTAATTGTTTTCATATCCTACTAAACTAATATTTTGAACTCACGTACAATCCTTGTTTTATAATCTTTTCCATCAATAGCCATCCTCGTTAGAATTCTCTTTCGGAGCCAAATTAGAAAAGACAGAGACGCGTGAAGTTTCAGAATAGTACAGAAGTCTTTTTAAGTCTGTAGATGCTACAATCTCAGGGTTTTTCTTTAAATAGTAGAAGAGAGTTGTCGGAACTGCATAAGTAACTGAATTTAAAATGAATTTAAAATGAATTTTTAAACGGTGTGTATTTCAATACGAGAAGGATAATGCCAAATAACTCACTTTGAAAGAAGTAAAATGAAAGTCTAGAAGATTACACGAAAAATTTACTGTGACTTTGCAAATGAACACACTTAAAAAAACGATAGCGACATAATTTTTTTTTTTTGGACATTGTACTTGCGTTAAAAGTATGCGGCGACTTGGCGACACGGCTACCATTCTTGGAATGCCTCTTTTCCGTGTCGAAAGCCCACGGTTAACAGAAAGGGCGGACTTCGCTGGGGCTCATTAAAAAAGCGTAGAACTCAATACTTTCTCGTTCATTAATGAAAAAAGGCGAAAAACTGCGAGAAAAAAAATTAAAAAGTAGGAAAAAACAGCCAGTAAATTTCTAATATCGATGTTGTGTTTTTAAAGCAGATTGAGGTATTAAACATATTTTTTTTATCATTATTTGTTTGTTTGTATTGGAAAAACGAAAACCAAGTCTTTCTTCAAAAGTCTGTTATGACTACCTCGTTGCAGATAAACAGTTTAATTTTAGAAGGCCTTCTAACATCATTTGCGTAGCCTAAACAACGTTTGGCGTTATGCTTTCGGATAACCAATCGTCTTAACTTTCCTAAGTCTGTCTGGGAATTTAATATCAGTGTAAGCCGTTTAGAAAAATAAGTGCTATTAATAATTGCGTTCAACACAGGGTGAGTGTATTTGTCTTAGTTCAACTGGTACCCCAGATCACGTAATTGTAGAGAATTTCAGCCCTTGTTTACTAGTCACAGAATTGTCTAAGATAAAACGATATCCGATTCCATTTTAACGCAACAACTTTTTTAAACGAAGGATAGAAGAACTTTTCGAAGCACAAACAAACCATGAAGGGGCATCGATGCGTGAAATCGTGAAAGCAATAACGGATTTAATTTGAGGCTAATTTGAAGGTCGGCTGTGTTTTGCAAAGTTTATCTCGGTTGTTTTTGAAGTGTCGTGTATAAGATACGGATCGAGTCCTTCTTGGTTTCCACACGGCCATAATTTTTCAAGTTAAGAAACACTTTTGAGAATGCAAAACAGTCTAAGAGAGATTGTGGTTGC